CTCTCGGAAAGCTTGATGCCTTGTTCACGCTCTAATTCTTGACCTGATGAATCGGTGAAACACATAGTGAACAGCAATCTTTGTCCGTCCGGTTTGGTTTCGATCTGTCTGATCTCCATTCCTATGGCTTGTGTTCTAAAATCTCGCCCCTCTTACTCTGATATAAAGATATATGAATTTTTGAAAGGCACATTTAACGGAGACTCTAGTCACTGTTCTGCAACACGAAATAAATAATTTTAAACTCTGAATAGTTAGGCACGCGTCAAGCATATCATATCCCCAATGCTACCCAAAATTAAGTTGGGTGTAAAGGTGATTCCCAATAATCTAGAGTGCATTGCTGTGTGCACTTAACCACAAATTTTCGCAATCATTTAGCATCTACGCGCGCATTGATAGTTTGATGATGCTAGTTTGAGAGGCAGGGGAGGTTGGAGACGCTATCATTAGTTGCAGCATCAAGTAAAAAAATAAATGACGAGGAAATAATATTGATGTTTTAAGAATTGCTTACGTGCTGCTCCTCCAGCGACGAGGACAACTACTCCAAGGCATTTTTCACAGCTACAGCAAAGCGTCACGAAAACGAAGATAAGTGTCCCGGCGAAAATGAACATTGCGATAAAGGCGCAGGCCACAGACGCCCTGTCACTGGAACTTGTTACATCTGTAAATCAAGGCATGATACAATATGAAATCAAGAGCCACTAGTTGAGCATACTTCAAAATATACTCCTTGGTACTCACCTTCTATACTGCTACCCCAAGTCCCAATGACTCCGATTGAACTAAAAACTCCAACCGCCAAGGCGATTATTGATAAGATCTTTCCCAAAACCCCCATTTTTGGCAGCAAGCTGACCTACAGTGTAACTCACCTACAGGGTTCCTCGAGTTTTATATCTTCTATCAATTGACTCTCACTGCGTTTGCTCATGTGTAAGCCGTATCCAATGAAAAAGAGCGCAGGCTCTGACTGATTCGTGCAAAACGGTAGAAGGGTAGAGTACATTGTAGGGGGTTTTCTCACTCTTCTATGGCACACACACCATCTACCTGATAGTCATACTTTCTCTCTCGCAGTCAGCCCAAATAAACACCCCAGTAGATTGTTTGGCAAACTGTTTGAACGTGTTTTGAAGGTCACATGTGATCTTGATTTGCAGACCAATTGTAATATTTTACCAAATACCCGGTCTTTGTAACGTCAGGCGTCTCGAGAACGCTCGGGAAAAGCCTTTAGGGACGTGAGGCCTGGTAGTTCGTGGTATCAGGGAAACAATCCGTTTTTCTGACATATTATTTCATTTAAGCGCCCGACTGAACGGTCTGTCAGTTGCGACACCCACAAAATTTTACACTCCACTTATTTTTGGCTTTCCGTCAGTAAGTATATGAATGCATAGAAAAATAGTATAAGTGTTAGCGAATGATGGTGCCCTGGGTTGAATCGATCACATTAGCCTGCGTCCTTGTTTTACTTAAATGTTGCTGCCTGGTTCTGGTTCAAAGGCTGCTTGCGGAGGAATGTGAGCTATTTGGTGGTCTAAATTTTCACAGATCTTTGAAACTTTGTTGCAGGCGTCTTGTCTCTGATCGGCCCAATGTGATTCATGCGTTGTTCCCGAACTAAACAATGCCTTGAGTGGTGGCGTGCGTTAGTTTATGCACGTGCTTCTGAGAGTTGCTCTTTATTTATGACTGGATGCTTCGGTTGGAGATCTCATCCAGTCGTTCCTTCAGGTCTTCATTGGTCAACGTCCAAGTTGCTCCCGAAATTGACTACTGAGACTCGTGATCTTAGTCCCGCGGCTGATCCTTTGTTCTGATGCTTGGCTGTCGGCGTTAACATATTGTGTTTTTGTTCTATTGGACAAACAAGAGAACAGACTGGATTCTGTTCAACAGGTCGATTGACAGGCTCCGTCGTGCTTCCAAATACCCCCGTACTGTCCCCTCGGTCTAGAATGCTGATATTCTTTTCTCTTCATTTCTGCTGTTCGACAGCGTTCTTTTCACCTGAATAGTCCTTTAATTCCATTATTTTTGTCGCTCATCCTGTGACCGCTATGATAGTTCACTATTTGGACCAGATGCCTTCTCCTTCTGTGCACAAGTTTTCCATACCTAAAGCCGCTAGTTCGCTGTCTGTTTGTCTTTTATTTGTAAGTTTGATGTCTTCGAAAATGGCAATAATAAGTTTATCTGTTTCCCTCAGTGAATTCGCTTTGATGGTAGCCCGTGTGTTGTCTTCGTTAGATTGGTCCGTGGTAGTTTGATAAGCCCAACTTTCTGCATTGAGATGGTCGGCTCTTAATATTGGTTATCCAGCAGGCGTCCCGTTCACTTGTCGGTACACTTGACCCTCAAGGTTGAGCTAGTTCGTCATCCACATATCAAAGGTTTCGAAGTGCTCCTTTAGTTAGACTATTTTTTCAATGGCATTATTGAGGTTTCTTTAGCCCATTTGTGTCTTATCGATGTGAGCTTCAGTGATGATTTAGAATTTCATCATGGTTTCATAATTCACTAACTTGACATTTCGTATTATGGAGTAATTGTCGAAATTGTCGATACTGTGCTGCCATCCAGAAATTAAAGGATTTAACATTCTACAGATATCTGTACCAATTTTAAGCCATATTTCTTGATAGTAAAGTAATTGGCCGGAGAGAGACTTCACTTCTGTGACTCTTTGGAAGCCCATAGAATAGTGCAATGTTGCATCATCTGCTTCCAACTTCCACCGTCCCGTCTGAAGCTAGAGACAGTCTCAAGCTGAAGTTATCCGTAATTACTATTGCAGCCATTTGACTCATCATATCCAATCGACTTTTGCGAAGGTGTAACAACTTTGCACGTCTGAAGCTAGAGATAGTCTCAAGCTGAAGTTATCCGTAATTAATATTGCAGCCATTTGTCTCATCATATCCAGTCGACTTTTGCGAAGGTGTAACAACTTTGCAAACGTTAAATTCAATCCGAAAAATTGTATTGCAAAAATTAACTCGTCAAAATTTCCCTGGCTTGTGACTACCTTTCATATGCACCTGATTCTTCTATAGAATTCACAAACCGCGCCCATCCAGTCAATTCATTTTGCTCGCAAATGCACATTTGTGTTTTGTTGATGTAAAGTTTGGGTGTTTTTATTGAACGGGGAAACCGGAAGATATGGGGATCGGTAACGACAGGTTTAGCTGGATTCATTTGATCCCTGGTCAAAACAGAAATGTTGTGGAAGTGAGTATATTTTGCGTATTGCTTCCAAATGCTATTCTAGTGGAACCTAAGGTTGATGGAAGTCAGGAATTGCGCACAACAGATTGGCCTTTAGAAAAGTCGAAAAGTTTTCAGCAAACAAATCACTGACACACTTTGATATTTTGTGTTCTTGAAACATCAAAAAACCAATTGTAATGTATTTACGTAGTGTAGTAAACTGCACATTAGGCCTTGGAATCTCCCCTACTCCTCATTATAGGTTTTGGAGTCTTTGAAACTCACCAGGGGGGTGCAGTCCCCTAATCTCCCCTAACTTTGTATTCTATTGGGACTCCAGATTGCAGGTGGCTCAAGAAATACACCAACATTACATTGATGCCCCTGTGTGTCTTGACAGCAGAACGTATTGAATAATGGGCCATAGGTTGTACTTAGTTGAGTGACCAAAAGCACGGTTGCCTTCAGTGCGCTTTCATAGAACGGAAATACTCAATACAATGTCAAGTAGGGCTAATTTGGGTGCACTATTAAGCTTAGATTGCCAGTGAGATTTAAGTGCAAGTATTCCGCGAATACGTCTTCAGGTGGCGGTCTGTGTGATGCTCTGTGGTTTCGGTTTTCCTCAACAGCACTGCTAGTAATAACTTTTAGCAAACTCATATCATGGAAACAGTGTTTCATGTCTCTCTTGTGTTCATCCGCATCTTGATTCCAACGATAAGTTCATCCGAGGGCCCAGGCTACTTAAAGATTACCAGCCAAACCAATAGACTTTAATGTGACCATTGAGATACGAATACTTAGACAGGGAATGCCGTTGCTGAGGTCATTTCTCATGGTAATTCGTACGATTTGTCGTTCCACACGCCGGAAAAGAACGTCGTAGCATGAAATTGAAGCTGGTAACTTCACTAGGCAATGTTGGAACTGAGTGTGAGTTACTCAGTATAATTAAAACAAACCTTCCAATATTATGGTTAACCATAGCCAAAAGGAAAACATTCGCTTTGTGAAACAGTGCTTACAACGTTGTCGCCCTCCTAGACAACGGATTTGATAGCATTGAAGATGTGGAACTCTGGTAATGGAGGCGTTTCTAAAATCTCTGACCCATTTCCATTGGAAAAGTGGGATATTTCAATGGACATCAAATGGCATCCTTCTACAAGGCTACGTTCAATGAGTCCTTGCGGATAAGCTATTATAGTATAGCAGCAGTGTGGCCCGATAAGTCCATCATACCGCAAGTAGCTCAGATCAACCGCATTCCATCCGCGGTCACTTCACTTGCACCTAGGCTCCAACTCGTTTTCATCACAGTAGGAATTAGGATGCTCCTTACACTTCCCGGCACTTTTACTAATCAGGCTCTGTATTGACTTCTCACGACTCCCTCCTGGTACAGGGTCATTAAGTTGAGTTTAAAGACTTCTTCCTTCTGAAACAAACTCAACGCTAATTACAGCCTCGTCAACACACACCGGAGGTGATAAATCATAGTGAAATGAGACAACGTTGTTCTTCAATTTAAGAAGATGAGAGCAGGATCCTCAAATGAGTCTCAACTTAACCCCGTTTCTGCTGTGGTAGTCTTAAAAAGAATATGCTGCACAAACACCACCTCATATTTCAGGGGGAATATTGCTTGGTATGTTAAAATATTTCCCTCGGTGTGACACTTCGTACAAGAGATGTGCCGGAATATAGGTAGCTCGGTGGTAACCAATGATGATTTGTCGGCTTATCACTGATCCGTTCACTGAGCTTGTCAGTTAGCATACAAATTCTACGCCATGAATCGAGGGGATATCTTCAATGCGCAGTTGGGCAGGGACAAAATGATTGCAAGTTAACTGTCAAAATAAGCGAGCATATCAACAAAAACCTGGTTAACCACCGAATGCGCATCATGAAATCTCTTCATAGCCCAAATTCTGTTTTCGTTCAGTGCAGGACACGCCAGCTAGGTCCAAACAAAAAAATTGTCATTTAACAGGTCACTAAGTGAACCAGCATCCCAGTACCATGTAACGCTCCTAGCAGCAACTAATCCAGCATTCATCACTGTGGTGTTGACGTTTTGGAGGACGTCATTGCCCGGAGTCGCGCGACGCACGATTATTTTTCCGATATCTAAGATCTCATATAATTCCAATGAGTTTCGGTACCTTAATCTGTAAACTTGACTTAATTTCGACCCCTATGAGTTGAAGCTTTTGGAAATCAAAAGTAAAATACCTAAATAGAATTAATTCCATCGGCGCTCGAATTTAATACATCTCCGTTTAGATGTCAATGTTTTAACTTGCTGAATTTCATTCGAATGAAGCACCCATATGTTGGTCATATATCATTAGAAGCTGTTCACCAGCCCAAGGCCTTCAGGCTTCAGCAAATGATTGTCTTTTGGTATACACATCAGATTAGTTGAAAATTTGAAGGCAGAAATGTAATTTGACTCACTGGACTAAGAAGTGTATGACTGTTACCGGACGCTCGGTATCGCAATAGTTGGTCGCCACTTTCCGCTTGTCAACAACCTGTCAGTTCATGAGTGGTACGAAGTTTGTTGTTTAGCTCGCGTCAAAATGTACATTTGGCAAGTTTGAAATACACTAATTATAGCAGTCATAACGGCTGTATGAAAGCTCTGAGAGAATTTAAATAGTGAGCCATATTTAAGCAGAAAGAGCACACGATACGGTTCAATCCGCAACTAAATCAATAGGTGCTTCTGTTCTGAAGGGCCTGCTGTAAAGCTGATTCATTTTTCTTAGTAACATTGGCTGAGAAGGAGACACTCGATTTTCAAGTGGAGTTCAGAAATTCGTAACCACCGATGTAACTCTAAATCTAGCTGAAACGAGATAACCAACTTGATTTCTCGTTTAAAATGTCCGTCTGTACATCTGACTTATAGGATAATATGACAGAGCGTTTCCGGAGTTGCGTGTGACATCCACTGTCTTAACAAAGGACACGGCCCTACCTGGACCACTTGGTGCGTCCGACGGGCCGAACAATGCTTTCAGCCAACCGAGACTCGGGTCATGGTGACAGTATTTATCAAAGCTGGAGTTACCAAAATGGAATGAAAAAATGAAGTGAGGAAATCAGCGACCAAAACAAGCACCATGGATCTTCCATTCGTTCGGTACAACAGTCATGCTACGAAGATGACTGTCAATTATGTTTACTTTTCTCGTGGAGCGGTACGAAATAAGTGCTGTCTTGACATTCACTGCGCTGTTTGTTTTGTTGCCGGGACTGATGTGTCTGTGTGGCGTTTGTCAAGGTCCATCATGATCGAAAGCTGTAACAAACATCATACAGTCAACCTTGGTTTAAAATGCTTGTTAATCACATTTTATCCGCAGCGGACGAGTTCCTCAAACTGATTAAAAGAGTGAGAAAGACCACTAAGCGAATTTATTTGATCATACCACTGAGTGTTTTTGAGGTAAAATAGACATGCACCAAATATGTGTTTGACCAGCTGGGATAATAGATACCGAAAGCGGGTTTCACGACGATGTTAGCTGTTAGCTGACGATGAATTGTAATGTCGAGTACAGCTAAACAGCAGTTCATTAAATACAAATAAAGGATGCCACGCCGATACCCATTATGAACTACGGCAAAACAAACAGATTTAAACTGAAATTATGCTAGAATAAGGGCTGGAGCCCAAGCAGGGAAATCATTCCAACGGAGCACTTTTGTAGACGAAATCAAGGATATCGAAATGACCAGAGGATATCGAATCTATGTACAACAATGTAAGAGGTTTTTGGAGAGCCCATAAAATAAGAAAATAATTACCACATAAATAAGCTTTCTCTGGTTGCATTTGAGGGTTTTGCATGTTCCTGAAATTTCGGAGGCTCTACTACACGAAATTAACGTATATGAAGAAACCCGTTGCGTCGTTGAGAACGGATGAAACGATGTGCAGTAGTTGAGGAAACGGTTGTTCAATGTTTTCCCAATAACTAGATTTATCATCGGTAAGATTAAGGAGAACAGAAGATTCACCGTAGCCCATCCAAGACTGAAGCGCTTCATACCTTGTGGAACCGTGGATAGAGGTTGTTTTTTCATCAGACTGTAAATTCTTTCCTAATTCTTCTACGATTAGCAAGTTGGAGATTAAACTGGCCTCACCAGGGCGCCCAGATGAAACCTGTGATTACTTCCTGAGACTACATTATCTATAGGATTAATGAAAACTCCTCAAAAGCTTTTTTGTGAATCATCCAGGGAGGTCCTGTTCCATTTGATCTCTCTCTCCCATGTTTTCTTCATTTGCTTGTTCTCTTTTGCCATACGTACTCGACGAACTATTTTGTCCAATGATACAGATGGGAAACTATTTGGAAAAATATGTATGCAAACAAAACCAACTTTTCGACCATTTGCTTGTTCTCTTTTGCCATATGTACTCGACGAATTATTTTGTCCAATGATACAGATGGAAAACTATTTGGAAAGATATGTATGCAAACAAAACCAACTTTTCGATTATACGGTTTTTGTATGTACACTGATGTGGAAATACAAAATCCTGCTTATTTTGACGCGTTGCGATGAATAATGAGGAATGTTTTCGTAAAAGAAACTACTCACAAGGTTGCTGAAAACTCTTCGAAAACTTCTTCAGTTGTGGAATATCATAAACGAGAGATTCAGTTGCGTCTCTCGTGAAAACCAAATAGATTTGCAAATTAGTGTATTTCCTGAAAACAAGGAATGTTGTCTATTCAAAGTGGGCTAATTTTTCAACTTGGTGCTTAGTGAACGTGACGGAATTTGGCATCCTTCGTGCACGCAATAATCTGCCGTATTTTCACATGAGGTAAACTTACGGAAAACTTAACTATAGAGCAGGTCAAAGACTGAATGTCTTTATTGAGAAAAATGAAACTTTGTGAAAATTGGCAAGTTAAAGTTTTCGCATCATACCTCAGCCTGTAATCTGCACAGTGTTCAGTAAAAGCTGTGGCAAGTTCATACCATCCGAAACGCCCGTATGAACAAGTAATGCATTGACCACTGTGAAAATCTTGCTTCGTAAATCCTGTATTCGCTTAAGTAAACAAGGTACTACAGCTGCTGTTTAATTATCAAAAAAACATTTTTTCATATCAACTCTACTACAGTCCGCCTTGTTTACTTTGTATAGAGTGCCTGACCTGCCTTATGTGTCAATAACTCCAAGGCAGCTAATAAGAGCTATTGCTCTTAATCCTCGGTGAACCTGGATATCTGGATCTGTCTTGAGATCAGCAATCGATGGCTTACTGTGAATTCAGTTCTTTCATCAGTCACCTTTGACTAACCAAGCATCACAGGTTGCAATTGACTTGCTGCAAAGCAAGCCTCTTAAACGTAATACAGGATACCAAAATTTTTGTACATGCCTATTGCTGACAGAAACGATACTGAGCACTGTATATGGAACCACTAATTGTCTGAAGAACGCTAACCCGTTCTAAACTATTAATATTTCCCGAGTACAGTTGTCTAAAGAATTGAAAACAGTGTGAAAACTGGTGTTAAAAGCAAGAGAAAAAAACTGGTGTAAAAGCAAGAGAAATGTTGCAAATAAACTCATGCTGTTTGTTTTGGTTCTCATATTCGAGGGTTTCGAGTTAGATATAATAATGATGTCGATGGTTAGTAAAGTAGACGGTTGAGTGGTTGTGTGAATGAGGACATGCATATTGGAGTTCAAGCTCTTCCAGTTGATCGTGGTGCATATAAATCTTCACACCTGTTAAACGAACATGCTGTGGCTGCTCCACTTAGTACAGGTTCGACTGAATATGGAGAATCACCGTGAACCAACCACGGACTGCAGGTTAACCAGAGTTGATTCTGACCTTTGGGATTTCAATCCACCTGTACCAACATGATCCGAAGTGCTACTGGGTCGTCAGTTGAGGTCCCGAAGGCACCAAACACTCGGGCTTAAAGACGTCGACCTACTCAGGCTGGACATCTTGTTCATGTATAGCGTGTGCTGGCAAGTTAGTGGTAACGTGCTCGCCCCACATTCATATGTCTGAACGTCACCTCCCGGCACAATTGGTCATCACCAGCATACCTCTGCTGTTTGATGTGGACTCGCCGGAATGATTGCATAAGGGCAAGAAGAGCGTCGTTCAAACAAGACCGGCATAATACGAATTCCATATGTCCAGCAGCGGTTTAGAACACTAGTGAGGCTGGTGTAGTAATACTAAATTTGAGTATCCCGGATGGAGGCAAAACCAAGCTGGTTTACACCAGCAAGATCTCACTCTTGAGCAGCGCTGTCATTCACAATCCACTGTGTATAATTGTCACACACCAATGTTCTGCCTGAATTTCGGTTCAGAACGAATCCGTGATGAACAATCATCAGGAAACTGCCATGTAACCTACTGGTAAGCCAGTGATAGAGAATTTTAATAATTAATTTTTCTTCAAAAACTGCACAAATGTCCATACCAATTTTAACTTCACGGGAGGCTCACATGAATGCAAGCTGAATCTGTCATTTTATCAGGTGTTTTTTCAAGAAACTGCGCTGCACCAAGTCGTGCCTCGCGCATCATTTGGCACGACGTTCAATAAACCATAATACTTTGTATTGACTTAACATGCTACTCGTAAGGTTGCTGAAACCTCCGTCGATGAATGACTCATTTTCCAGCTGAGTGTTAGGGTAGTGACTAGTTCTTGCTAGTAACTCACGTTAAAGTTTTTCTTGTGAGTTACTAACCGGTCATCCTAAACTCATCTTCTGATTATTGGTGCGTTTTTGTTTAGTTTAATTCTTTAAAGAAATACCAGCCAAAACGGTGTTCCAAGTGAGTACCAAATGAAATCTTTTTCCAAGAAGCTCACATGAATAGTTCAGCAAAAAATGGCCGTTGAAAAGTATGTGTACTCCCGTATGTCAGACATCAGAACCATATTTGCGACATGGCAGATAGTTAAATATGTGCTTGAATGTGTAATCTCTGTAAAAAATTACTGAACATAGATGAAAAGGTTTCACCATGGAACATGCTTCATCTGTCTGTTGTGTAGTCGCACCACGCAAATGAAATCTATTTCCAGCAAAATGCGTTTTACTGGGTGACTTATCACTGCAATAGTGAAAGACATTTCTCTCAATGACCAGTAATTTCATTGATGACCATATCGCTTTTTTATGAAAGCATTCTCAATGGAGAAGAGTACTTCCCGCGAAATGTCACCTACTAGAACATTCGATTCCTGTGGGTCAGACAAAGTCACTATTCCTCTGTCGGAGTGAGAGCGGAAATTATGTGGTCAGTGTTCCATGAACCTTTGATCAGGCCACTGGTAGGGTGAATGCCCGTCACCGATTTGTTCGTAGGTCTTCACGTCAAGTGCTTTAGTTGAGGACTATTCTCCTCCCACCATCCAAACATAGTTTCACTGGTAGCATTTGAGCTATCACACAAACTTTCTGTATGCTGTAAATTTATCAAATCCCTTCTTGAGTTCTATGTGTTGACATCAACCAGACAGCTAAATCAGATGCGCACAGAAATAAAGATTTTTGGAATCCCGTCACTTCCCACATCACATGCTGACTTCCATTAACAACTCTTTTCGTCAAAAACAACTCTTTCGTCGCTACTACTAATGACAGTTACGCACCGGCATACGCCAACTCTAAATATTTTGTGATGTAAAGTATGGTGAGAATGCCTCGTTGATACAACCTACGCTTTTGCCAGACTGATTCTGCTGTTCGATTAGCGATTCATGGTTTTCTACTTTACATGCGTTAATTCGTCAGCGTCAGTACTAATGACAATATTTAGAACACCAAAAGTTACATCACACGTTTACCCCGCCTCCGTCGTGGTATGGTGATATCAAACATGATGTGAAGGCTGTGGTTCGCAGAACTATAGGGGTGATGACACCAGGGCGTGAATCCTCGATTGAGAGGCCCGCCTACACTTGTTGGAAGGTGCCTATTGATTATGTAAAGAAACATTTCCGGAGCGAGGAATTTTCTCGGACCTGTCGATTCCAGGCTTAGTACAACAGCCTGAGCAACTTATGGAAAGAAGTAATTACAGCTGAAATATCTAGTTCTTTTGGAAGTTTTGGGTGAATGTTTGACCAACAACCAATTATTGATTTCAAAAGTTCGGCATCAAATATGCATGATCATCATAAGATTTCATAGCCTGATCAGGATTTCCGTACATGTGACTGTACGTGATTTCGATTCAACTAAATATGACAATGCTGAGATGATGATCAATGTCTGAAACTGCTAAGGTATTGGATATCACAGGCCCAGCTTGATCTACACTTGACCATTCTACCATGTATATAGATATAAAATTTTGGGTGCCTTTGCTTTTTAAACTAGAGTTTTCCAAATGCTTGTTAAATCTGATGCTCAGTTAGAAAATCAGACTAATGAGTGCCCAAAACCTAGACCTATCCAAACCTTGTTTTAAATGACATTTGCAGCTCAGGTGATTGCCATCTCTGTCATCTCCATAAACAGCACTATCAATAAAGATAAATGTTGATCATCGGTCATACAAAAATGAGGGAACAATACTCAGCTAAATAGCGGAATCGCATGTGTGAGAATATGGCACAAGAATCATTATGTTCCCGAAGAAAAGTATCATGAACTTCGGGCCTTCATCTTGGATCAGAAATAGAATAAACACATCTAAGTACCACAGCAGCCGCCATTAACCAGTTCAACCCAACCGCTTTTTCGAACCGCTTGAACCCAATAAACTACAGACTGCGAAAACAACGTATTCAAACTAGCAAACAGATACTCTTGGAATACATCGAAATCGAGCCCGAATGACCAGAATGTGACATGGTCGCCTGAAAACCGACCGCTCCATCGAAGAAATGTGGATGAGTGTACAAGATGCAGCGTTGTGTAGCCAATCAGCTGGACGGATCATAACAGTTATCTTGTTGGGCATACACAACAAAGACTGTCTACAGGGATAACCTTGCGTAACTTCGCAGCCACAAAACATGACCCTGAGATCAGTCTAGGAGGATCAAATGGCACCCATTCGACTCAGTAGATATGGAGTATTAGTGCGTTGAAATATGCAGGAAGCGAGTTCTCTAAAGCAAGGTCATCTACGATAAGCTCAACTAGTCGACATATCAAAATCGGGTAAATCTGACGACTGTTAGCAAAGACGCACTAATTTAATCAAGGAACTCAGCTGCAGACAAACAAAAGGATCGAACAACGAGATAGAGTTGAACGGCTAGGGGACGCAGAGGTCAGAAGAAATTGTCACTTTGAGGCTAAATGATAGAAGCTCTAGCCAACTTGCGGCCGAAGACCGCTTTTGTTTTCAACAACAACACACAATACTTGGAAAGTGAGGGGCCCAGTCCCGTTCTACGGTAGGCCTTCTGGGATATCTTCATTTCCATGCATTTATTCAGACAGTCTGGACGCTGAGCTTTAAAAATAAAGTAAACCATACAGTCAGTACTTCTATTCCCTGATTTCAGGCTCAAAATAGACAAGACTCCAAATTTGAACTCAGACGAGAATTAGGAAGTTTATGAACCAAAATAGGAACGCTGGAAAGTAGGCATACAATCACCGTCCGAACCGAGAGGCAAGACCTACGTGTCGATAGAAAATAATGCGTGTGAGACAGCGTAAGTGTACTTTCAAGTCCGGACGAGTTTTAAGGAACTCTAAGTCTCCGAACAACGTGCTCAAAGCCGAAGTCACATATCCCGTGCATCGGTATGCCCCAGTAACAAAATCACAACTAATACTCCATTGGAAACTATACAAGCTTTAGCCGCGAACCCCTCCATGGTATCTGATAATGCACTATGCCTACTTGCAAAGCAACCATCAACGATTTTCTCTATCAATAAACTTCCGCTGCCAAACCTTCAGACCTAAACTTTTAAATCCTAGCACAAGTATTACTATAAGTCCAGGTAAGATTCCAGTTCTAGTGTTAGACAACCTAACAGACATCTTAGCCAAGCACCTATTTCGTATATTTCATTTAACTTGTATAGCTTGCGCCATCCTGGAACTCCCTCCAAGTGAAGTAGCAAATCCCTACCTCTTACTGCACGATCACTTCGAATAGCTTCTAAATTAACGAAAAGCTTGGCCCCCATTCCCTCAGTATGCTATTAGCCATGAGCAAGTTCCTAGGCAGGAACCAATGTGTTGGTTCCTGTTTCTCCATTCCGTTTGAGGTTGTCGAGAAGTGGATGGACGCTTTGGAGGTGACTTGATTTCTCCAACTCACCGGCAGACGGAAGCACAGTTTGCTCTCAAATATCTTCAACCCAATAAGGATGCGTGACCATCCACTGTGTCTACCGCAATAAGAGAATATTTGTGTTGAGTTCAAACGGAGCTTTATCCACTCCACACCCTATATGGGCAGAACTTATCTACTAACTAAGCTAACTAAATCCTGCTTCCAATCACTTCTACCGTAACATCCTGCTGGGATAACAACGAAAATCGGCGGTTGCCTGGAATCCCGAACTTTATGAAGATAATGTGATTTGACCTGAAGATGCCGTGTGCTGGGTGTCAATAAACAAGTTAAATTTTGATACCCAAATGTCGTTCACGTGCGACTCCGGCAAACGCACAACTGTCGTGAGTAGTACACTTCAGCAATTGGCGTGATCTAGGAACGTTTACTCTACTAATTTCAAGCAACAATGAACTAAAAGTCAGAAGACTGACCTTCGCAGTAGGACTAATAAAGAGGAAACTTTGTTCACTGCGAATGAATGACTTGCAACCAAATGTTACCTGTATTGTCTGACCACTGCTGAAAATCAGTATCAAGGCTGATTATTTGCAATGCAAAATAGATCACTTTCATCTTGAGTCTGTGCAGAATGTCACTCAAGACATCAGAGGCCTAGAAAACAAGCCTTAGGAACGAATACTTCGACAAATTAGCCCTTACATGCTTGCATGTCGCAGACTTCACGAATACCTTGTCCTCGGACACGAAAACGTTTGAAATTCCCATTTAAATATTTTTCCACCGTAGTAAAGCAAACACATATACTTAGCCACAGTCACCGTCATTCACCAACTTGATCGCCTATTATACGGGAAAAATTATTCGCGTCGAGTGGTCCAGCCCAGAAACCGCCTCAGATTGAAGAAACTCTAGCCAGAACAGTCGTCACTTGCAACTACAGGCTAGCTTGTGCCGCCAATTATTCCAATGTGTAGTATTATCTTCTAGCTGCAAAAAGCCTTGTCCATTTGCCATGACTCCAACCCACCGGCACCACAGCCTGCACTACACATTCTACTACTGTTGTCTCTCTCAAAGACACAAAATTTAGAAAGTCGAAAACAATGTAGAAATGGAAAAACAAGAGAACCCTAAACATGCTTTCTGTTTTTTTCCCGATTCTGCCGTTAGCTTTTGTTTTGCAACACCAAACTCAAACAGCGGCAGATCCTGTAGTCTCGACGAGGTGGCTGAAGGTCACATCACTACCACACATTTGCCTTTGCAATCTATTCCACGCCGAACGTGGATCATCAAAAAGCTACCGCTCGACTGGATCTGCTAGAAACTAACAGCGACTTTGCCATCTAAAAACTAATTTTCACTTTCCGATAATCAACTATGCTAACGAATAACCTGTTTTCCTGAAAACAACACCATAACTGTGAGTGATGAGGGTGTTGTTGCAGAACTGTTATTTCATGCTACTATCAACCCGAGTTAGGGAACCTTCGGTGGGATTCCGTCAACCACTACCGCTGGTGCCAATACATAAGGACAGAAGACTTATTCATAGCTACGTACTTCGAGATTTATTCACATTTCAATAGCAACAAACAATAGCCAGGGATTGTTTATTTTTTTCGAAGAGAAAGGTTTACATATATTTTTATAGCCCAAAAAACATGTGAGAAAATGGAATGGTTACATCGTCACAAATACTAAGTGACAGACGAAGCTGTTTGATGATTCCTGTTTGTGTGAACTGAAGTTTCTAAGATCTGGTGATGATCAGTGGTGCTAAACCAATTGTGGATTGAGCCATGTCTCTTTGGGTGCTTGGGTCAAATAACACAATGTGCTGTTGGTGCAAGATTGGTGTCGTGCATGGGATCTTGGCTCATGTTTGAGGCCGCACAGGTCGAGTTTTTGCGAAAGGTTATTTAGGACACAGCCATGGTCAAGGCGATTAGCAAAATCGACGCACCGGCGAAGATTGTCCCAAACGTCCACTCAGAAGCACTTGGAACTTGTGCACCACGGTCAATCCGCTGTTTGACCATAAGACCGTAGGCGATGACGGCAAAAACGGCTGAAACAAGAATGGAGGGGCAAACTTTTGGATTTGGCAACCATTTATGGGTTCAATACAGTAGGTGCCAGCAACTGGTCTGCTGAATAAACTGTTGAAATTTTCCTTGTTTGGTGTGTATTTTGTGTGGATTGAGAGACCTAAGAAATGCGTCTTTGGTTAACCAGTAAGAAAGTAAAAATGTAGCAGACGGAAGTGGCGATCCACAGAGTATTCATGCTGAATTGACCAGAACAGATCAACGGGGGTTCCATTTCAACGTTCACTCAATGGTGTCAATAAACACATTCCCCGTATAGCTTGTCCTCCAGCTGCGTGGTGTCCAGTTATAGTTTCAGTTTTATTGAGTAAATATGAGGTGAGATGCCTCCAACAAACAACTATTGTTATTACGTTTCCAATCATTCGTAATGGATCCCTAACGAACGCTAGGCACTGATTTCAGGCTTGAATAAGATTCGTTCAGTTTTACCAATTTGCAATACGTAGCATTGCTTAACTGAGACATCGGCATGTTAGATGTGGAGTTCATCCGTAGTTCCAACACCTTTGGAAATCAACTCGAACACAAAAATTATTCCTGCACCCACCATTCCTAATTTAATTTTAGGTCTTGGCTGTCTCGGTAGTAGTTTCCATTCCTCTGTTTTCGCTGTAAAATCACGGCTACTGGATATTCTGGGCAAGCACATAATTTTCCGCTCACTGCTTCAAAGTAATATATCCATAACCAGACTATTCACTCGCTGCTGAGCCACAGGAAACCTCTGGTGAGTATATGCTGAGAAATGATCGTCAACAGCCACGGTGGTTAAGCAAAACATTCTCAGCACTACAGACTCATTAATTTGGGTCGTGAGAGCTAACATATAATCGATTAATGCCTCAACTCAGTGTGCTTCGTTATCGATCGCATCCAGCAAACCATGGTCTGAATTCACATGGTATGAATTTATTTGTTACATTCAGGTGGATATGTTTCATTTCAGCCGACAGTAAAATGGGCTTACCGTCAGACGATTCAGTCTTGTTACAACAAGAAAGAATGCCGCCTGACGAAAACACTTTAATATTTCAGTAGGACTAAACGAAAAAGAAACTACCAAACGCCCTGACGACCAATATCTTGCAACCCATTGTGATAAAAACGGGTATACAAGAAGAAAAACCCATAAAGTTTAGTGGTGTTAAATTGGATGCAAAGGGGTCTATTTTTATGCTGTGTGTTGCAAACACCCACCGCACACTTGGATGAACTGGCCTCAGACAAAGCAATATATGCTATATGGTATTTCATGATTCACTCCACTTTGTATGAACTTTTAATTAACCAGAACTGTTGAGAAATCGTTTATGAACCGTCAGTTCATGTTGCATTGCGGACGTGAAAGTGTTCTGGAGGAATGAACAAGCTAACGTGATTGGTTTGTGTGCTGGGATGCTGAATAGGAAAAAACGCTTTTCGACGCGAGCAGAGAGTGAAATCGGCTTTGTCAACTCAACGTCATATCAACCAAAGCAAAGTCAAGATGATACAACAAATTCATGTTTGGCTCCTATTTTTTCCACCACTCTATTCTGACCGAGGAAAGTTGATCCTAACCCTACGACTCTCCAGAAGCATCAATTTTTGTTGTTACACTTCTGACTTGCTTCATTGAATCCATTATTTCATTTAGCTACTATTTTGAATTTCGTGTATACTCTATTTTCAGGGGAGATCCCGACTACAGATTTCACCCAGCCTAACATTGTACCTTTACTATACTGGCAAGCCTTGTATTCCTCGGATATTTCGATGTGGGTGTCTACTGATGTTTTTTGATGCGTCCACGTTTGCATGATCCAGACAAGACCTAAACTGAATTTAATTTTCCTTACCTGTCTGATGAAATAATGGATAAAACTGGCATTATTCGCGGTTTTTTGAATTTATAATTTTGTGCTTTTTGTCCGAAAGCATATATCCTAAAATTTTATTCACTGTCCTCTGCAGTCCGCAAAATACTGAGAAGTTCTACACTGCGGGAAAAACCTGACTCCTGAATTTCGTTGTTACGTGTTCCTGTGTATTATTTTGACAGGAAATCTAGTCCACTCAGGCTTAGCTACGCTAGAATGGCCAATAAGATGCCGTATCTAAGAGCAACTGATCCTTATACTCCAATAAACCACATTAAGAGGTATTTTGAGGCTAAACGTGTAAGTCAACATGGAACATGATTTGATAAACATATTTTTTGAAAGTGACCATACCACAGTCAATTGAGAAAGACGAGCGAAATAATATTTGCATAAAATTTCCACAAAGCCACCGCCCTGCGGCACAAATGACAGTAATCTGCTGGATATACAAACAATAATCACATGCGACTTGAAACGTGCGTGCACTAAAATTAGGTGTCAGACTTCTACGGTTTACTACGTGTGCTGTCAAGTTAGACCAACTCCACTATTGTTCTGGTATAAAGCCCCGAATTCAAAGATACAGGGGGCCTAAAATAGGCTCATGTTTCTAGTACATGTTGACTGACCACACAACTGACAGTTACAAAATGAAGACACATCTTACGAGAATCGAAAACCGGAATGCGATGACACATTTTACCAGATTAGAAAGGGGAAGACGTAAAAGATTGGCTTCCCTCATTGCGACAAAAAAACTCAAACACTACGATGTGAAGTCTACTGTACTTGGAACTTGGACAGTCAACTACGAGAGGATGAAAAAGAATAATTCTAGGTCATACATAGATGTATATAAGTAGGAAATCAATGGAGCTGGTGTGAACTTAAAGTTCGACCCATGGTCCTGGACAGTACGGACCAAATGATAGTGGGATATCTGAAGCGTACGAGGGAGGACGATGGCAATTCTGTTCCGGGTGGCTAGACTAAGCCTGCCAACTTTAGCACGGATAAGTTAAAACACAAAACCTTTTGCTGCTTGCATCTGCGTCTCAAGTCGATTATTTCGTGCCGTACTTTTTCGGCAAAACCCCGGAAAGTCGAAGAAACATACTGGATCTCATGAAATCCAACAAGCGAACAACAACGCCGGAATCTTCTGGAAAGTATATGGAACAGTGCAACGTTCAGCAACGAAAAACAGGTTTAAAGTAGACCAAACAGGGCTTATTGCATGGACATGTCCAAAATACAATGATAGGGAAACTTATCTACCATGTCACTTACAGTGAAAAAATAAAAGATTATTGGCCAAATTGTGAACCACGCGCCGACATGTGCTACAGTACATGTCGCTCCCTGGATACTACCTCGTCGTTTATTTGAACCGCAGGCAGAAAAGATAAAAGAATTGCCTATAAAGTCTACGAAGCTCCACGCAAAAGCCAATGAACACAAATTTAAGCATATTTTCGAGCACTTTATTTGGGGAAATTAGACTTAAGCAGGAAACGGGGCGAGAGAATTTCCCCTAATATACATGGAAAACATTCAGCTTTTTTGTAAATCACTCAAAGATCTGACGGCTAAAGTAATCCAAAAGATACCAAAAAGCAGTGGAACGAAACTCAAGCGAAACGAAAGCAATAAACAAAACACGTAGCCAAAATAGCGCGCGAATCGTTGTCGCTATAGAAATTTCTGCGTGACTGAAAACTTAAACTTAAACTTTTAGTAGTTGATTAGATCGTGCTACCTTGTATGTTTTACTTTCAACCCTATTCGAATAGGGAAGTTCGAATTTGAGCTATATAGTTCACTGGACCTAATATACGATGAGCATGTAACTGGATGACTTACAGATGGCAGCGTAGCCTTAAAATGGGAGATGTCCGAACACAAGGACTGGCTGTTCCAGCCAGAATAACCCACAACCTAGAAAAACCTTCACAATTATGGTGCGCAATCTGAGAAGTGAACGAATCTCCAGCCAAATCTCAGAGGTTAAAGGCGAACATGTTCACTTGTTTAGACGTAAAAGTCGGGGAAGTTCAGCGTGTGCGAGAGTCAGGTGAGTCTGCATCCTACAAAATCCCGCAACTGCCAACCGCACAAGCAATAACGAAAGTTGACAAAGGACAGACACTCATTGTTGAATCAACGTTCTGTGTTTATTCGATTTGCTGCTGGCTCTAGTAAAAGAAGAGCGTTCCTGAAGTTTGGGTTGGATTTCAAAGTGACCAAAAGACAGCCGGATGAATCTTTTCCGATTATCTCGTTCAACGCACATTTTTACCGGTCAGTGGCTCTTTGGACTTTTATGGAATTCACCAAAAGCTTAACCAGTGCAGTGCAAAGGTCCCGTGGATAATCCTACTGGATCTCGGATGCCAGACAAATTTGTCATGCTCATTATGAAATTCCCATCAAGGTTAGCTTCATGCTGAAATCTGAGTAGCTACTTCAACCGGTTGGTATCTTCGCCCCAGCTCCGTTCGTCCTTTATTCATTGTTATTTTGATGCTGTTTACGAAAACCTGCAGTCGATCTTTGCCATTAGACTGCTTACAAGAAGTGGAGATGAGGTGACTTTCTTCTATACCTAAATCGGTTATGGCTAACACTCTTCTCTATAGCACATGATGATAGCACTAACCATATGGTTATCTGCCTCCATGCTGACTGCGCAGTAATGGGTTGTCCAAAGGGACATTACTACGATACTGTGGTAGGTGCTTGTAACTCAAAAAACCGGCTCTAGACCATCACCTTTGGTTCCGTTGACGGCTTTCAACAAGCGTTGGAACGTCGTTCAGGCTTACAGACTAATGTTTTTATTTGGTCCAATGGTTTGCGACCGCGAAGTCATTCTCGGATGTCCCCAATTTCACCGTAACTCCAAGAGGTGTTCTAAGCTCCTGCGAAGTGACCTCAAATAGGTTTGAAACTGCGCTAGGAGTCACCGGAAGAAAATCAAGATCTCCTTTTTTCTAAAGATCTACCAAGGTTGTTTACTTTCACATTATTTTCCCAATGAATCCCCAAAGTGTCTTATTAGTAATGACATAGTCAAACAGAAAGTGTGGTCAATCACAAACAGATTTGAGATATTTTGCTTTGAGTTTTAGAGTTCATTTATTACGCACAAATCTAAGCGAGGCATTTTTCATCCGATTTAAATCATATATCCAGTACACAGTCCTAAATTTTGGCATCCGACGCAAAGTTTTTGACGAAGAATAGTACATCACTTGTAACGAGGTTAGCATAACCAGTTGAAGCCCAATTGATCTAACAAGGAAAGAGGTGAAGCACAGAAAAACAAAGAATGTTACCTATGCTGCAGAGTTCAATGACGGAATCATATTCTAACCTAATTTAACCAGCAAATCTGTCCGAAACATAACCTTGACGGCGAAACACAAAAATAAGATAAATGGTGAAATCCGTACTCGTTCGGAAAGTGGTAAACGCAGCAAACCCCTTATTATACCGTACTGGTTGACATCGTCTGATGAATATCTCGGTTTTTGCCTTTGAACAACTTAGTTGGTAGATGGCTAGTGAGAAACGAATACATTTGTTCCATAAGTGCCAGCATTTCCACATCAAAAGAACTGATGGTAATAAACTTGTATACATCAGAACTGTTAGAGCTGTTTCGGTCTATTTTACCACTAGTGCAAGTACTCTGATGCCATACAAACGGCTGTAGTATGTGCTTCACTCGGCAGACCCAGTGCACTCTAGGCGAAATACCGGCACATATCTCATCATTCCTTTGCCAGGTACCTTAATCTAGTTGGTACATTGTTCGCAACCAATAAACGTCGGATTTTTTATGTTTGCAATGCATGAAAGTAACTCAAATTATTCTGAGTGAGGACATCCCATAAAGCCAGTCTTTTAGCTGTTTTCACGAAGTGGATCAGCGGGGCCTTACTTTTTGGACGTGAGCATTCAAAGTGTTTCCCTCACAATAGTTCTCATGAACCTTATTGAAGTGGGTGATGTGGTCTCAAACACATCAAATAAAAGAACAGTTTGTGTTCACTGAAGCATAATATACCCGTGATGTTTTGTCGTAGGTCTTTATTGTGACGTGCGCTGTTCCATCATTTCAACCCTTGATACTCGCAAGTCTCCTAATGTGAAAAACAGCTGAAGCACAACACATGGCTTGGAAAAAAACTTTTATCGGATGTTTTATTTATCCAGCATGCCTAATTTCAGTCTACGACTGAGTTAGTTGACGTAGCATAGAAGTTCTGATTTCATCTTAGGCTACGTTCGCTGTGAACACACAAATCTATCTCTGTTCACACTGAGCACCAGACGATGGACACTGATAGAGGAGGATATATGTAAAGACGTTTGACTGCTTGAGACTGCAATCGGAAGAGTATTACGCATATCAATCTCCTCAGTATCACTTTAGGGCTGACAAACGAGGTCAGATTGAAATTCGTTTAAATTCTACCCCATCCTTCCGTATATTTTGGTTTACCCGTCCTTTTAGTGTTGTTATGACGCAAAGTTTTCTCTTGTAAACCGTTTGATTTCGGGAGGCACTGTGATCGCTGATTGCCGAAACATCAGCACTGATTCAAGACACTAAGTGGGTTCATTCAGGACCACGTTCCTCAATAAAATTCCAAAACTGATTTTGAAGCTCTCCATATAGCGTGGTAACAACTATGCATTTCAACTATCATAACAAACGGTACTACTCTCAAGTGATCTGTGTGAAACCTGAAATAGTTCCATCTTGAAACCTGATAATTACTTTGATTGGTGTCTCTCTTAATCTATAAAATCCAGAACGTAGGATCCTCTTCAGCAAAATTTAACGACTTGCTCTAACCCCTCGCTACAACAATGATCACATGGTCGTCGCAGTGAATTTCTTGCAATGAAACAATGTGAGAAAATTCTTCCAATACTGCGAGAACCTACCGGCAGCCGCCCCTCCAGCAGCAAGGATTATTCCCATAATGATGTCGCTGCACGAACAACAGAGTGTAATGAACAAGAACAGTGCCATTCCAGCCAGAATGAAAAGCGCAATAAATAAGCATGATATGGCACCTTTTTGATATTCCGTTTGTTTCTTGGCTGCAACAGAAAAATAGGATAGGTGTAGTTGGATCAGCCGGGTATGGTACAAAACAATGCCAGTTTTTGTGAATATATAGTATTCTTGTTAAATCTTACGTGACCGTTTGAAATACTAATGGACCAAGCGAATGCGATCACAAATATGTCCCTCACTTTCGGCGTTTACTAGCTGAGAGTTAACTAATGGAAACTATCTATAAGACCGTTAGAACCTCTTTGACAGCTCAAACCGGTTTGTTCCATCTTCGGGCTAATCAGGTGGGTGCATTTCCCGAGTTTCTATCCATTTTATGTGTCGCTAGAACCCTAATTGCATGAAATTCGCAACATGTACCCGTTTGTGCATCAGTCTCATTTTCATGGGAAATTAACCTGAATCTCAGATGAAGGGGATAAACGGGAGTTTCACCTGGATTCAGTCGAGTCTGCTGTCAAAACCACTTTGGTGTCCAAAATAAGAGCAACTGACGAACTAAATTTTGTAAAGTCACGATTCATTTGTAACCTATCATAAACAAAAGCTCAGTAGTGTTTGACATAAGTACGCGCGACAAAGGAACGGTAAATTCAAACAAATATTCAGATGGCAGCACAGAATACTTCCAAACATGGATTAAAATGGTAGAGGAAACGTTTGAGATGAATTCTGAGGACTCAACAATACCTTTGCATAAAGCGTTAGTTACATTCTTAGGACTTTTAGGCGTGAACGTCACCCAGGCTAATCAAATGTAACTGAACTCATTCAGCATAGTAATTCGGATGAAATCAGTTCTGAGCATTGGATATTTAATATATCTAGTAGATTATTCAACGTAACCCTCCGGGTTTTCGGTCACGGGGTCTAACAATAAACTTAATTTAATCCAGACAAAAAACAGGTATTCGTTGCCAGATGAGCCGGAGGGTCTTTTAGTGCAAACAACTAGTTCGTTGTGATTTTTACGGTGCTTCGTCAGTGAGCTTTGCTTTTGATCATCACGAATGGCCACATCTGCTGCTCGCAGTTCACTATTCGGACCCCGCTCTCCCATCATATTTCAGCCTTAAATGTGGAGGGGTCCTCACGCAGATCGGCCCACAGACCTCTTTTACATACATTCATGATCCCTTGTTGACTACCGTCTTTTGCATATTTGGAAATGGAATGGTATGCACAAGTGCAGCTGTTGAGTACAAAACACCTTCAATCAAGAAATAAACACTCTTATTTCTACCACGAAGTGCTCGAATATGACTACAGTAGCTGGAGGCCTCAGTCCACATTTAAGTCTCCTGAGTTGATTAGAAACAGGCACTGCTTTTATGTTTAGTTCGAAGGAAAAACGCAGTGATAACGGTGAACGTATTTTTTTCAGTTTTGTACCAACCACAATTTGATTTGTCGAAGTACTGAGTGGAGACACAGGGTGCCTTGGGGTCACGCTACAGCCGAGCAGCCGACATCACCACCAGCTACATATGAGGAAGTCCAATCACTGACACCTGATCGTTTAGGAATAAATAAACCACTTCAGCTCATGCTCTCGTTTGGTGCATATTTTTAATAAACGTTCCCAGTAAACCTTAGAAACGAGCTCTCCAATTAGAAACGGGGAAACTTTGTGAGACAGAATTCATTGTACCACACCATGGCATGACTTATAAGAGGCCTTTTGGAGTGCACTGACCATAACTAGAATGAGATAATCAGAGCTATACGTAACGACGAAACTTTCCTTGTTATTGTTTCCGAGCTCGTGTACTGTATCTCAGAACGCCTACCACCTATTCTCGATATATAGCTTTGCTTTCATCACGAATGGCCACATCTGCTGCTCGCAGTTCACTATTCGGACCCCGCTCTCCCATCATATTTCAGCCTTAAATGTGGAGGGGTCCTCACGCAGATCGGCCCACAGACCTCTTTTACATACATTCATGATCCCTTGTTGACTACCGTCTTTTGCATATTTGGAAATGGAATGGTATGCACAAGTGCAGCTGTTGAGTACAAAACACCTTCAATCAAGAAATAAACACTCTTATTTCTACCACGAAGTACTCGAATATGACTACAGTAGCTGGAGGCCTCAGTCCACATTTAAGTCTCCTGAGTTGATTAGAAACAGGCACTGCTTTTATGTTTAGTTCGAAGGAAAAACGCAGTGATAACGGTGAACGTATTTTTTTCAGTTTTGTACCAACCACAATTTGATTTGTCGAAGTACTGAGTGGAGACACAGGGTGCCTTGGGGTCACGCTACAGCCGAGCAGCCGACATCACCACCAGCTACATATGAGGAAGTCCAATCACTGACACCTGATCGTTTAGGAATAAATAAACCACTTCAGCTCATGCTCTCGTTTGGTGCATATTTTTAATAAACGTTCCCAGTAAACCTTAGAAACGAGCTCTCCAATTAGAAACGGGGAAACTTTGTGAGACAGAATTCATTGTACCACACCATGGCATGACTTATAAGAGGCCTTTTGGAGTGCACTGACCATAACTAGAATGAGATAATCAGAGCTATACGTAACGACGAAACTTTCCTTGTTATTGTTTCCGAGCTCGTGTACTGTATCTCAGAACGCCTACCACCTATTCTCGATATATGCAACCTATTCCATCAGGTTTGAGATGCACTTTGGCTTGACCTTCGATTACACGACAGCTCAAACGTGGCCTTTTTTTGGCAGAGAAGCGTCGTGGTACCGGGAGGATCAATAAATGGTACAGGCCAGTAAGGATAGAATGCACGGAAGCTGTCCCAGCTAATACGCAAAGCAGGGTATAAAGGCTCTCCGTAAGCGGGCCAGTCAGGGATGACATCGGGAACCTATTAGGTGTTGAAGGGAGCGTTTAGATCGATAGGAGGAGTATCTTCAAAACCGAATTGGCTGACCCTCTGCCCCTCCACACATGGCTTTCATTTGACCGGTTCATTTTCAGAACTTTAGTTGTCGAAGTACAAATATGTATGCTTTGGAGCGCAATCGGACTGTTTAACAAGATAAACATTCCTAGCGTTGTTTGAAGATGGACTGGAACGAGATTATCTACAGAGCTGCGGTCAATCGTTTGTTGCACCTGTGTTCAGAAAAGATACCCAAGCAGACGGCTATAAGTCTCACGCTGACTGAAACGCGGCCAATAATTCCTCTGCTACTGAGAAGCCCATCTTCTACACATAAAACGCAAGTCTTAGAGTACCAAGCAGGATTTAGACCCAACAGACGATACCTCATATCAAAGGCTTGAGCAGCATCACGTATTGCGTTTTCCTCGACTTTGAAGGTGACTTCAACTCTGTGAGTACATCTTCTCTTCTAAATATTCATCACCCGAGGAAGTTGATATTGAGTTCTCAAATGTTTTTCATTCCACATTTTCCTATCCCCCCTTTATGGTTTGGATTTACATTAAACTATCCAGGGCTGTTTAATTTGGGCATCGATATAATCATAGGGTACAGACACAAGGGACCATGAATCTAAATATCTAAATCACATCAGAAGGCCACTTGATAGATTTGGACCATGCGGACGGCATAGTTTTGTTTGAATGATTATCTACCCGAGCAAAGTACTATAACCAGAATATCTGAAATCGCTCCATGTTTGCACCTTCACAGCTGAAGGTTTTAATCCAAGATTTACCATCCCCTTCTAGTTTTCCGAAACTTCGGAATAAAGCGCCTGTGCTCGTTGATCGGTTCACATATTTTGGTACCTGCGTAAACCTTGATTATACTACAGCAGATCAAGTCAATGTGCGCACGATGAAGGCAGGAGTAGAGGTAGCCAACTAGCGTCGTTTATCGCGTCAAAACCAGATTTTGTTAAAGCTAAAAGGCCTTGTACAGAAGGCAACTGAGTGAGTGGTCTTATTGTTTGGATGTGTGATTTGACTCCTTCGATCCTAGAACCTGGAACGTCTCCAAGTGTTTGATAACCGTTGTCTCCGTAGCATAGCAAGAGTAAGATGCTTGCACCGATGTGATGCGTAACTGAATACCTTGTAACCAATCCAGTTCGTAAGATCAGCAGGACGAAATAGTTGGGGCACCTGTTCCCCATGCCAAACCACCGTATACCCTTGTATTTCTGTTCTCAGAGACTGTTGGCGAAAGGCTCATCCCAGTTCGTAAGATCAGCAGGACGAGGTAGTTGGGGCACCTGTTCCACATTCCAAACCACCGTATACCCTTGTATTTCGGTTCTCAGAGACTGTTGGCGAAAGGCTCATGAGTAACAATCAACGGCATGGGAGTGTGAAATGAGGCTACATTGAAATTAAGTGATGTAGGATCTTCATGCCTTCCTGATCGGGGTCCACATGGTCTTGATTGCAGGTGGTTGCAAACTCTGGAGTACGTGTCACGCGACCGATCCCAGTAGCCCGTAATCTATAGTTTCCCAGCCTGAATGCCTATTGAAAGTTCGTGTGTCGGACCTATGTCTGTTGGAGTTCACAACGGAAGCTAATGGTACCTAACTTCGACAAGATGCTCAGATGTGTTTCTTTCAATATTGTCCAGAAGTACAGACAGCTCTTTCTCGACTCTTTTCCTTGGGGACATAGGACTTCCTCACAGTGGATCGTTCATCAGCACTTCTGACTCCACTCTTTATTAAGGCATGCTTCCTTCACGGTTGTTAAGCACAATATGTGTCATTGGTGTATTACTGTCAATAATGATGACGATGATGATTATCTGTTCAGTTTTTGCATAATTGAATATTGTTACTTTCAAGGTGGTGTCCATCTTGATCACACCAACGGACTGGTGTGGATCATTTTTCCCTTTCCTATAGACCCAATAAGACGAGTGGATAACCTAGCCGCTCCGAACAGTCCCCTCCGCAAGTGTGACTCCTCAGCACCACCCGTCAAAGCTACAATAAGGATTGTGTAGTGACAAAGTAAATGTGCCAAAGAAAACCACGTCGTCATTAAGACCTAACTGCAGGGTTCCACTCACTCAGTCGTATAGAGTAAAATGTAGTAAATCTGATTTGTTTGACGAATGATCAATTTTAGAGCTTAGGAGTACATGGGGAAGGAAAAGTACAATGAGCGTTTGGTTCAGTCCAGTGTTGACCGAAGGAGATGGGGCCTGTATATTATGTGACATTTTACCAAGGACAACAAACATCATCTTAACAGCGACTCCATCAATGCGTGATTGTGTGCCTGAAGAGAAACATCATTCAAATCTCCAGGATTCCGTTTATTTTTTACTGTTTTTGAGGCGTCTGGACCAATCATAGTCCCAAACTTATAGGCTGCATCGAGCACGTCTTAATGAACAGAATACATTGAAATTAGAAGGTAGATGACCAGCTCGACACTTCTGCTTAAACTGGTGGTTCATACTGCAACTGTCACGAAGCCTGATTGACCGTGGGTCCTTTTCCATTGGACTACTTTTACCGTTTTTTCCGCATGCTCAATGATCTGATGCAGTATTTGCGTAATCAGTCGATGAAGTTTGAGCATTGAGTCATTGGCCCGATGAAAATTCTGCCTGCACTTACACGTCCAGACAGATATAAATTCAGAAAAGATACATGCTTGAGAACATGAATGGACGTGTAACTCTAAATCTCTAAATCTCTAATCGTCAACACGGCATGAATAATCGACTTAAACTCAAGTGCGTGTAGTCGACAGACTCCGGGATGACTTGGGCGTTACTATGTAAGATCAGCCAAAGCACTAGTTACACTGTTGCTTGTAATATGAAAAAGCTCACTATAGTGTGTGATGTTTTTCACCAACAAAGCATAACCATTTCAAGCTAAAAAACAAACTAAAAGATTAATTTGAACTTTGTGATGCCAAACTACCTAGGAGAAACTTGTCTGAGACCTCAACTCTCAAGCATTTCTCAGTTAACAAAAATTAAACACCGGTCAATCTTTTACCACTCTCGGCTCCTTGAAGAATCTTACTCGATTTTCCCCATACACTTCTCAATTTCGGAAGTGAAATATAGTCCAGCGTATAAGCTTATAAGTTACTTCCCAAGACTTATTTTGGATCACCGAGGCAATTGTACATAAAAATGGCAGGCATATCGAAAAAAAGTAAGAGTGTAATCAAAACTTACAATTAATGACATCCCTGTACTCGGCCAGCGCAGCCAGTGTACACATGATAGCCAGGGCTGACGAGATCAGCAGTAAAATTCTACCCAAAAAACCCATTGCTTTATGGCGAAGCTAGACTACGTGGAGATAATCTGAGTTATATGCTGTTTCGTCATGGCTAAATATCGCCTTCAGTCTGTTCGAAGTACCAGACAGTAACTGGCCAACCACGACAGGGGATCGATATGTCCATAACCGAATGCCATGGCAACCTATGACACTAACTCATGCCGTACAACACCCATCGACATTGAAGAGTTGAATAAATCTGGTAGCGTAGGCAGGGATATCTTGAGGCATCAAAGCACGAACCTCAGTTTGTGCGTGTGTGCCATGAACACAATTTACATTTGCGTGCCTCCCTTTCCTTAGACTATCAGGCTTGAAATCCCAGAAGGATCATTGATTTACTTTGGCGTCTGTTATCTGTGGGGAACAATGAGGTCGATATTCATGAGACCTGCACCAAAAGCTTTGCCTGATCACAAACATGAACTGTAAAAAGCAAGTCGAAGGACGCCTCAACACTTTCAACACGTTAGAGCTCTGTCCACTGCTTATTTTATCAAACATGCAACATCCAATCTCTCGTGAAACTATGCGCTTTGATCAACGATTTTATTCTCAAGAGGCCTCAGTAGAAGTCTCCAACAGTCATTAGGTGATTTCGTTCTGTAGATGTAACCAATCTCTACTGGAAAAACAAGGGGCACCTGGCGGCTGTTCCACCCTTATTTGGAATCATGGTAGTGCTCGTATCACGAGTCTCCAGCGCGACTCAGCCTCTCATAAAGTTATTACAGACCATACCATCTGATTACAAGCGGCCCGATGAGTGGTACGATTAACTCGCAGTTAGATAGAATATAGCACCACACTGCTCACTGGTTGGCTAGCTCCTCAGATGGAAAGTTCGCTCGTCGTGTGGATTATTCTCCTCTATGAGCCCTCCGTAGTGTGTTGGTGTTGTGGGAGAGATTCGGGGATCTTCAACACGGGGTTGGTCCTCTACTGAAAATCGCGAAATCTGCTCACACAAACAACAAACCAAAGCAATGTTACTGGAACCAAACTTTGATACATGTCATTGGCTGTTGTGCGCGGCAAATAAGTGCAAAACAGCGCACCTTTGCTGTTTCTTTTCTCGAAAACAAGCTGCAAACCGCGAATGTCAAACAACGTTAGATTAATGCTGACCAATGGAGAGTAGTGTTCATTCTGATCAGTCCCAATGAACATTTATGGCGAATGAGCAGGTCAAATTTGATTCATCCAATCTAGGCTACGACAAAATAGCCCGTAGTTGAGGCCTATCGGAATTTATTTGTCAACTCCTAAGAACAAGAATCGGAATATACACTGATTGCAAACAGTGCGCATGATGCATCAACGGCTGGTTAGTGTACAAAGATGGCCTCCGGTTTTGCGCAGGCTTCGATCAGTCATCTGACAATAGTTTATGTGATAGGGGTATTGAAGTTACACTGCTGACTGGTCGTACAAGACAAGACATGCATGTAAATTGCGTTCACAAAATAGATTCCACTGGATCACCTCTATTCGTGTACCGTGCGGGGCAATCTTCCGTTGGCGAACATACTATTAGAGGCGTACGGCCGAACCCAGTAGTCAGCATTATTTCCTCCCCTGATGTTCCACACAGCAGTATGCAATGGACTCAAATTTAAAGCGTTCCTCCAAAGCGCGGCTGTTAACTTTAGTTTATTCCAGTCGATCAGTCTGTGTAACCAGCTGCTCTGGAGTCTACTTTGAACACATTATTTCCCTTAAAGGACGAACAGTCCCAAGGAACAGCCCAACTAGTTCCATTTTCGGACGATAACTTGGAGGAGGAGATCCTCCTGTGAATGCTGAAAAATTGTAGCACGTTTGACAAAACTGTGACCTTCTCATGAGGTGTTCCAAACAGCAAGCTCTGATGAACACAAATTTGATTTTCCGCGAAAATCGCCACGCCTGTGAAGCAAAAATGCTGCTGCGACAGAAAGAACATAGCTCCAGTACCACCGCCTGAGAAAGTAAAACAGACCTTCCCTCTCCCCCCCCCTCCCGGCTTCACTTCCTCAAAAACGGTTCCATTGGCTAGCTCATTTTTACTGCCTTAGCATTTCGGTAATACCATTTGATCACGCCACTGAAGATGGGTCCAACGCCGTTCCATAAGAACATTCTAAAGTTCCCTCACAAAAAAATCACACTTCATTCACCTGATTGAAAGTTCGCCTTCATCGCATTACTCCGGGAATCATGGCGTCCATGTGGGGGGGGGGCAAATAATAATAATAATAATAGTTGTCAACCACTCCGTCAACACTATCATCGTCAGTGGCATAAATATTCTATTGTTGTTCAGCTCCTTCAGAATACCAGCCTCCAGAAGATTCAGCTGTAGTCTTAACCAGGCACATTAACTACATATGAAATAGTCATATCCACATAGTCTCTGGAAAGCTCGAGGTTATCTGAGCCCCCAATCTTTGTTGATTACAGTCATCGCCCTAGAAGAGACTGATGCTAGGTGGGGTATTTTTCGTGGTACTCGAGTGGCTTGATTTAAATCGTCCTCCTCCACTGTACCACACGAAAGACAGTAATGGATGGGTAGGACTCTGTGGATTCTTTGGCTTCAATCTTGTGGGCAAGTTTACCGCATTTGATCTTTTGAGCATTTATCTCCAGGCCGATAGCCTCTAAACCAACTGGTGGACTAAATTATCATCACGTGTTTATTCAAAGTCAGAGACGCAATATTATGAGACTACGAATTCCGCAAAACGTGTTATCTCACGGATCACGATATGTTCATTTGTATTGTTTGAGGAAGATAATTAACTCGAATGAAGATCCGGAGATTTCGCAAATAGACTTGCGTTCATCTAAACTCCGCAACCGAGATGAACCACCTCCAGAGGAGAATATTCTCCCAAGGACAGCCAGTTTTGGGTGGCTCCTTTTTGAAACACAAGACTGCACTACCATTTCTCACTTGGAAGAGGATACTTACAAAATGACTGAATAAGGGTGAAGTCGTTCGGGATTTGGATTCTTGGAAGGAAATGACCTTTGAAGAAAGGCTTTAGGATGGCCGCAGAATGCCGGTTTCACAGCATAGTATGAGTCCAACAACCACTCTAGAAACAATAGTGTGTATTAGATTGGTAAATGGTGAACGTGTGTTCCAGTTTGACATTTTTGTCTTTGTTAGGAATGATATTTTACTGCAGAAGTATCTGTAGTAAACATTTGGGGGATGTGGGGGTTGTGACTTATCAGAGTAACTTGTTTGCAGACAAGTTGCCCAGTTCATTTGCCCACCAATCCGTATGCATGATATCTAGACTGACTTGTTTTTTAAACGGTTTCCTCTACTACACAGAAGACCTCGAACTATGGTGAAAAGCCCAAGAGTCTGTCTAAGAGAGGCAGAATATTCCGTTTAAAGTGTCGAAAATTATAAATGCCCACATATAGCCTTCGGTTGGAATCACGGCATAACATTCTCAATATTGTCTCCGGAACAAACCTGGTCATTTCACTAGCATTGAATGCAAAGAAAACGTATAGTTGTCCTCTACTGCCCGGTTTTTTATAACGTTTGGAATCCAGCGAGCATTTTTATCCATCTTGCCTTCTGATTTTAATTTTTGGTGTCCCGCTTTGAGACGGTTTTTGTATGTTGCACATATTTAAATTATCCTGTGCCCGACCGTCTTTTAGCGAGTTCAAAAAAGTGCCACTTAAATGGTCTTTGGCCTCTAAACTTCTCTGTAAGTAAATATAATTCTGTCTTTGTCTCTTCCCGTCAGATGGCGAATAAAGTGTGGAGTTCGCGTTTCAGATTCCCTTAGGTTTAAACACGATCCACTCTCTTCGCATGCGGAGCGTCCACAAAAAATTGACCGCAAGATTTCAGGTGCATCTCAAAATATTTGTAATTTTTCAGAGTAGAACAAAGTACTTTACCAAACTCCCTCATTGCGCATTTCTAGCCAAAAATACTACCTTTTTAGCAATGTTAATAATGTCAGTTGACGACCATCAAGTTTTGTATTCAATGATTGCTCCTAAATCTTCTTCAGTGCCAAGTATTCCACTTTTACTTCCCTTTGACGTTATGCCCCGGCTCACTCACCACTTTATGTGTTCTCTCCTTCCCAATGCTCCGCACTAGTCAATTTGTCAAGATGTGATTTCCCCCATCTGAAAATCCAGGATGGATCCGAGGCTTTCTGATTTTTGGGCCTCTTGACCGTACGGTCAAGACTGTACCGACAAATCAGTCGAGAATCTTTGCCAATTGAAGTTAGTTCTGCAGATCGAAGCATCCTCATTATGAATCATCAACATGATTCATCAAGAAACACAGGTCGCCTCAAGGATATACACTTTCTTGTTAGGTACTACGTGTCATGTGGAGTGAAGCCGTTCCACGACTTGCTTAGGTTGACTGTACCCTGATTATGAAGTCTCATAAATAGACTATTCTGACAGAGACACCGTAGCTTAACCAGTAAGTCAGCCTGCATGGATCCGGAACCCATAATTTTATTTACCGCTTTGTATTATGTGAACCACATGGGTGCCTCTGATATGATTCATCAGTTAGGTGAAGCAAGCAACACGTAACTTACACACGTTCATACGACTAAGCAAATTTATGGTAACCGGTGTAGTTACATGCGTCCTGTCACATATCCAACCTTGTTTTTTTAGTAACGCGGGTAGCTTCAATTAGGAATGTACTTTCCTTTCTGTTCAATCCATTTCTGCCAAACAGCACGATCTCCCGAGGAGCGCTTCGTCATTTTGCCCTAAGATATTGTTGCGAAACGCCAGTAGACCGTCTGTTCTAACCTAGGTCTCTCTTTCTCGTTCAACTAACAGCACTTATTAGCGAAATACACTCATCTAGAGACCAATGTGGTTTCGCTTAGAAACACTGTAAACGAGGGATTCGTCTGGGTTCTAGGTAAGTCTTCCACAAGACCAAATTGGTTTGCAAATGAGTGTAGTTCGCTCTTCATGTGAAATTCGGG